CCAAAACTCGAATTGGTAGCAGAGAAAGGCCTCTTGTTTCCCAATATCTTCTTGTTGTTTGGGCCACCAACTAGTTTCTTGTTGTGGAAATTTGAGCTGGATCTGATCTGATAGTCAGTCGACAGGTCGATCCGGCTCTTAAATTGACGAATCTGCTCCAGCTCACCCACCAATCGATCCTTCAGCTCCAACAGCTCCTTCTTCGTATAGGAAGAGATGTTGAAAGTAACGTATCCCCCCGTGTTCAAATCAACAGGTCTCCGATTTATCGAAGAAGCGTCGTCAGAAGCAGCAGACTGCGCAAACGCCGGAGATTCATCTAGATCTGCCAAGGGTAGAGCCTGAAGGTGCCGCTTCTTTGAGAATTTAGGGTTAGGGTTGTTAGAATTAGAGAAAGGATATTTGCCCATAGGTTTCGCACCGCCGGCCGGCTGTGGCTGAATCCAGTTGGGTTCGTTCCGATTAGCTAGCAGAGCTGACGCCATGAGTCCGGTAGAGTCCCGGGACAGCCCGGCGGCGGAGGTCTCCCAATTCAGGTGACCAAGAACACATGGATCACATTGAGCGTGAACGCCACGCGCCTCCTAGGTTCGATACCCAACGCGCCGGACGAAAGGTGTAGGTCGGAGGGAACAATCCCGCCGGGAGGATAGATCGACCAAGAGAGACAGAGAGAGAGAGATAGAGAGAGAGAGACCGAACCAACTAGGGTTTCGGGGAAAGGGGAACGAGGGAGAAGATTGGGAATTGGGGATCTTTTCCCTGATAAGAGCGAAGAGGATAGGAAGGGCAGCCTCGTTCTTAAAGGCAAGGAGATCTGCCCGGAAAGATGATGGGCAAGATCTGGACCGTGTATTTAAATTTCCAACTCGTCATCGGCTGCCCGAAATACTGACCGCCGTGAGCTGGCGAGGACGGCGAAGATCTGGAGTTTGAAACACGTGGTGGGATTTCAGACGGTTAGATGAGACAGCAGATGCGATCTCTTATTTTCGGTTCGGAGTGATAGATTAGACATCCACAAATTTTGTGATATATTTAGCATTTTACTTCCTTAAAATGTATTTTAATTATTGGAGAGACTAAAATTTCAAAAACTCCAAATTTAACTTTTTGTCTCAATAGTTTAGTGTGGCTTTTATTCTTTTTTATTTTATGAAACAGTTATGTTCTATAATAAAAAAAACTATTATCAACATTCCTTGCCAATTAGAGCAATAAGTATCATCGGGTCATAACCTACTCAAATCAATATTATCAAAATTACGAAAGAATCAACTCATAAACTAACACTTGTCTTTTACAACTAATGTAGTTAAACTATAGTTTTCATATATAAGCGAAATGGTGGGTTCAAACATAAACGTAAAAGCGTAAATTTATATGAATCATTAAAATTATCATAAATCTTCTCCAATTCGACTTATATTTTGTTAAATACAAACATCATGAAACTTTAAATGTCTATGAAATTTTTGGATTTATAAACATAAGCAAATTGGAAAAGCTCTTGAACTCGAGTAAAGTCTAACTCAGAACAAGAAGTTCATAAACATAGGAAAAAAAAGTTAAATTATAGACTAGCATGAACCACAACTCATAGTCAATATGAAATTTCTAAATTCTCAACATCACTACGTCCCAAAAATCTTGATCGACTACGTCTGGCCATCAACCAAAATTTGCATCCAAGTCTTATCATCTAATCACTGCCATCACCATAGTTGTCATTATTATCACTAACATCATGCTCCTTAAAACTACATCCATCGTCATCCACGAAAAAATGATTAATTTCAACTCCAACTGCATATGATCATTTTTGTTTTTTTACCCGAAAAAAACACTTGACCAGCCCACAGACTGCCCAACCTACTCACTAAACCTATCATTAAAAGGCTTTAAATATTTTATGAGTTTATAGAAGTTCTAAAGAGGTTATATTAATATCTTCGAACTGGGAAGCGATGTCTCCTTGAAAAATAACAAGGGATCGTGGAAGGGAGACGAAAAAAATTGGTTAGGGCGGCAATGGGCCTACCGAAATGGGTTCAAACTCTTAATCCATATTATTTAATCGGGTGCAGTTTAGTTGGACGTGAATGAAAATGTCTTACCACGTAAGCTTTTTGTAATTTGATTAATTATTTGTTAAAGATTTACCGAAACCTAACAAGGACTGTCGAGGTGAAATGAATGGTGAAGATCACCCAAGGTCGACATGCCCCAGATTTTGCCCTAGGCACCGTAGAATCACCATACATATGGTTTAGTATCATGTTCGAAAGATCTGTCAATTCAAGGTCTGTATAGCAGTTTCATACTCAAGTATGCAGTACTCTAGATTTCATATATATTATTAGGGCTGGGAAACAGTCCGGTTCGATTTAAAACGGACTGGATTGACCCAGTTTTTTGAAACCGTATTCGACAATCCCACGCCGAAGACGGGATTGGATTGTTACCCGGTTTAACCAAACCGGACTGAATGTAATACGGTTTGGTCCGGTTTTAACCAAAAACTGGATATATTTATTCCCTCCCAAAAAACGCTGCCGTTTCTGATAAAAAAAATGATGCCGTTTAAATTGGATTAAAAGGAATTCCCCTCACCTCCCACTCGGCACACAGTCACACACTCAAACAATACCTATCCCAATTCCCCCAAAATCTACGCCGCCGCTCTCTTCAAAAAAAATACCCCTAATCCCTAGCTCCGATTTTCATCCATCCTTCACCTTCGCTTCTTCATCTTCTCACCTCCCTCGCCGCTGCAGAAGTGCGACCATCCCTGCATGCACCACCACCGTCCACCGCCATTCAAGTCCTCAACATAGGAGGTCAAGAAAGATCAATTGCTCGCTTCCGCCGCATCGCCGGTGAGAGAGAGGTCCAACACTGGTTTGTGGCCCAGATCGGGAGTTGTTTCAACTCTGAAATCACCATCGCCTTCGCGCTGTCGTTGTCGCCTGAGGAGATCGTGGCCATGAACAGAAGGGGCATCTCGGTGCCATCAGGGAGGAGAGGAGAGTCGGCGGCTGATTCGATGGTTAGAGGCGATTTCGGCCGCCAGTCGACTTCTTCCTCGAGAGTAGAGGAGTGGAATCGCGAGGCGACTGGAGACAGAGGAGAAGGGATAGAGGGACTGGGTGGCCATGACGATTAGGGTTTTTGTGTATCTGGGCTTTTGTTTTGTGCTGGGCTGAGATTTTGAGAGGGGATTTGGGCTTCAAAGCTGGGCTTGGTGCAAGGCAGGCTGGTCCCAGTTTCTCGGTTTTAACTGGGTTCTACCTGGTACGGTTTTCTCCAAATACTCGAAACTGGAATCCGGATTGGACTGGGTTGTATCCGGTTTCCGGTTACAACCGAGATGGTTTAAACTGGCCGATTTCCCGTTTGACCGGAAAACTGAAACCGATTCCCAACCCTAATATAGGGCTGGGAAAATAGACCAGACCATTAGAAAAACCATGGTCCAAACTGTACCGCACAGTTTGGTTCGGATCGTAGACCGTGAAGTATGGTCTGGTCCATGGTCTGTATTATTTTATGATTTGATCTCTTGGTCCGGTCTGGTCTAGACCGCGGTTTACCGGACCAAACCGTAGACCCAACTGACTTGTCAATACGTGTTAACAGCCCATTTGACCCTCTCCAAACTCCCACAACGACACCTAAGTCTCAACCTTAATTTTGTGAATCTCTTCCCTCCTTCATTCACAACCACATTTAACCACAGAGTAGAGATAATCGTGTCTCCATATGACATTATGTTAATGTTTATGACATTATGGTGCAAGCTGAGATGCTTTTACTTTGTATCTTTGTTATGTACTAAGATTTAGAGTATCAAAATTATTCATGCATGTTAGGATTAATGTTTTAAGGCAAATAACAAATATTTTTCTTGGTTATTGGTTCAATTTTTTGTGTGGTTGACTAAACAAATTATTCATTTTTTGTTGAGTGTGGTTTATCTGGACCAGACCAGATCGCACAGGCGTGGTCTGGACCAGACCGTATAGTCTGTGGTCTGGTCTGTGGTCTATACTTTAGCCTCTCGGTCTGGACCGTAGACCGTATATATGGTCTGGTCTGGACCAGACCGCACCGTTTCCCAGCCCTACTAATAATATGGTGCCTTCTACGGTACCCCGGGTGAAATCCGGACTAGCGCATACCTTGAGTATGAAACACTATCGAGACCTCAAATTAGCAGGATTTTGGGCATGATACTATACCCTAACCCTTAACGAGTGAACCCTAGGTCCTAATTATCTAAATTATAACTATAAACCCTAAGATGGTGCATTGGTTTTTTTGCCTATATTTGGACGAATCATAACCGTCGATTATTGTTTCTAATTAAATTGATCTTGGGGTATAAGATTTAGAGAATTAAGAGCTAGATGTTGATCTTTAAGGGTTAGAGTATAGTATCATGTCCGAAAGATCAGTCAATTCAAGTTTTGGATAGCGTTTTATTACTCAAGGTATGTGGTACCCCGGATTTCACTCTGGGTACCGTAGAACTGCCCATATATATTAAAAAAGTACACCGCGGCGGCAGCAACCCAATGATGATCTTCTTCAACTGCCCGCCCCAAATCTCGTCCAGCCCGACGATTCACCTCCCGCCGATAAGGACTACGGACTACCGACGCCTCTGCAATATCGCACCATCCGGAACACACAAATTGATCGACGACGGCCGATGACAACAGTTCCGATCGACTGGGGGAGCAAAATTATTACTACTACTACTTCTCTCATGCAGCTCTTTCTCCTCCTCCCCAAATCCACTAGGCAGACGAAGAAAGGAAGCTCTTCCCACCCAGCAACTCACCTTCCTCCTCCTCTGCAGATCTCATAATGAGATGAAATTCCCACGAGGCGGCTCCGTCACCGGCGGCGAAGGAAGCCGACTCCTCCCGTAGTAAGAAAGCAGCAGGTGGCGGCGGTAATAAGGAGGTGACATACGGAGGGGTGAGGAGGCGGCCATGGGGAAGTACGCGACAGAGATAAGGGATTCGACGCAGCACGAGATGAGGGTGTGGCTTGGGACGTTCAAGACGGCAAAGGCGGCGGCGATGGCGTACGACCAGGCAGCGCTGTCCTTCCAAGGAGCCAAGGTCGTCCTTAACTTCCTCATCGACGAGGTCAGCAGATCCCTTCGGGAGATAGGCTGCAACAACAACATATTCGAGGAATATTCGTCCCCTGCTCAAGCGCTTCGATCCGAACTATTGTCACCGGCCGGTCGTCTGATCGATTTGTGTGTTCCGGTGGGTGCAATATTGCAAGGCGCCCAGACGCGGTGAAAATTGAAGGCGTCGGCGAGATGGACGGAGGAGCGGTGGAGTCGATTCCGATTTTGCCGCCACGGTCCGGCTCGAAAATGCGGGTTTGAATAATTGGAGTTATTTGACAGTGGAGGAAGATATTATTTCTTGTGCGACGGTATATAACCGAATTCCTGCAACTGAAGAATGCACAGCAGTAGGACTGCGTCATCCTCTACTTCACCGGCCTCCACGTCGTGCGGCGGAGGTTCGACGACTGCTACACCGTCAGATCGATCCTTTGCCAGTTTCAAGTCCGGATCGACGAGCGAATCGGCGGACAACAAATACATTGTCGAGGTGTAGGAGATCCTGGGAACTGCCGGGAAGGTGAATCTGTCAGTGGTCCTCATCGGCGGGGAGGTGAATCATCGGGCTGGACGAGATTTGGGGGCGGGGAGTTGAAGAAGATCATCGCTGGGTTACTGTCGCCGCTGGTGTAATTTTTTAATATATATGGTCCAGGCTAGCATACACCTGACGTACGCTATACACCTGTGTTCACATTCATTAATTAATTTGAATTAAATTAAATTAATTATTACTGACAGTTGTAATTACAATAAGATTCGCTCTATTTTTATATACTACATTCCCGCAAACCTTCCTAGTCCTGCTTTTCCTACTTTCTTAATTAAACATCGGCAGATCGGACATCTCTTCCCTACCGACAACCGGTGGAAGAAAAACTTGTAAAAAAAAAAAAGATTCGAAGATCGATGTTACGGTCTTGCAATAAACAGATTAGCGTCCCAGTCTTGTTTAATGGCTCTCTCTTCTGATGACGAAATTGTTGCCGAGCGCAGCCCGATAGTTCTCAATAAGGAAATATCGAAATAGTAACGGATCAGCCTTTGCTTTGGATTCCCGCTGGTGGTGAAAAGGAGAGAGAGTGTTTTACTAACCCAAAAACCTGAATATTCATTAAAGATACAAAGATCTGTATTATGGCCTTGCTATAAAGGAATCAAGATTCTGGAATGATTCGCTCTTCTCGATGGGTCCAATAGCCATCACTGGAATGTGTTGGGTTGGAGTTGTTATTGTCGATGAGGATTGTGGAGGCAACACATGTATTTCTATAGGGGGCATGCTATCATAAGAATGATTTGTGATTAAATGATGAACAGTTTCTTAAAAATGCATAGGTGATCTGTTGTATTAGGTTTTTGCAGAGAGGTAGAATCGTGAACATGGCCTGGAGCAAATCCCTAAGCTTAGAAATAATGAAGGATAAGAATCGTGGGATTAAAGTGTATACAAAAATTAATCAATGGATTTGGTTATAATTATAATTATTGTTTGAAATTAATTTAATTATATTTAATAATTTATTATGAGGTATGAACACAGGCGTATAGCGTATGGCAGGCATACGCTAGCCTTTGACATATATATATATATATATATATAGTGCACTAACATTTTTGGGTGCATTGAATTCTCTCGCCTCATAATTTTCATGCATGCGATTCGTGTCAAAACTATGTCAATTGTCACATGTGATACGATGGACAAGAAAACACGTGAATTTGCACAAAAATCATTCACGATATACTTTGATTTCAAGGGTTTAGAGTTTAGCGGTTTAAGGTTGGGGTTTATAATTTTGGGTATGAGTCCAAATTTTTTTATAGATAAGGGTGATATAGATTTATTTTTTATGGTTAGGTACTACTTAATTTGGCTACTTCCTCTATCCTTCATTGATAATGCATGAAAATACTGGTGGTGTTGACGCGGAATCGGGAGGCGGGAGAGGGATGTAAACACCAGTGCCTCTACAGGCGGCGGACTCCCTGCTACCACGATCTCATTAGAGGAGTCCAATATTAAAAGATAGTTTAACTGTAAGACAGTTAAAATTAGTTCAAAAGGTGGGGCATAGATGAGAAGTTTCTCAGATGATTGTTATCCAATAGTTTTGGGAAATATAACTATTATATAACAATTATGCATATCTATTTCTTAGATTTGACTTACATTATATGGACTTCATATTTCCTTTAAAAAGTAGAATATAACTGTTATATAACTGTGTCATCATCAACATCCATAAATCTCATATCATCTTGATTTTATGGGTTTTATTCTATAAGTGTTAGAAGAGGGTGTTTTTTCTTTTTGTATAGTCTTATAATCTGCCCAGAGATTTGGTTGCGCTCATGGTTGATATGATGTTAGAAGCATAGAGAGAGAAAAAGCTCTCCCCTCTCTCCTAGTTTTCTCGTTGTTTTTTCTGGATGACCATTGGGTGTGTGCCTCCCACAGCGAAGGCGGACCACTGCTTAAAGCCGCAGGACGGATCTCCGCAGCCGGATGGATCTCCGCCGCTGACGCCGATCCAACCAAGCAAGAAGGTGAAGGCAAGCACGAGCGGAGACTTCTCAGAGTAAGGTGGAATGGAAATCGCCATCGTCACAACTAGGGTTGGAGAACAACATCAGGGTAAAGATGTGGAAATGGAAACGGTTAGCAACGGTGAGGAAGGGCTAGCCACAAAATCGATATCGGCTAGCAACGGGCAGGGGAGGATGAAAGTCTCCTACAAAGATTCGTTCCTTGGGAATGAACCCCCTGCTGAAATTCCTCAAGGTGATGAATTGATGTCTGGTGAATCGGAAGGAGAAGATGTTGAGGATGACCCCGAATGCCCAACAATCAGGATCAAGAAAAGCACAGACGCGAGAGTCAGGAATAGATGGAAAAGAGTTATCACCTTCCGTGTTCTTGGTAAGACCTTTCCTTTTGATATCATTCACATAAGAGTGCAGAAAATGTGGGCGAGATCTGGGGGGATCAAAATTGGCAACATTGGAAATGGTTATTTCCAAGCGATTTTTGATTCTCAACTTGACCATGATCGTGCCTTGTACGGGGGACCTTGGAATATCGAAGATCATTACATCGAAGCTGAGCCATGGAGGATTGATTTTGATCCGGATTTCGATTCGATTAGTCATGTGTTGGTTTGGGCCAGGCTCCCTCGCCTCCCCTTGCCTATTTTGATGAAGAGATTCTATATGATATTGGGGATTGATTGGGGAGAGTAGAAAAGATAGATTACAATAAGACAAATGGATCAAGGGGAAACTATGCTCGTATTTGTGTGGAGATAGACTTGAGGAAGAGGCTTATCTCAACATATAGGATCAAGACAAGAGTTCGCGAGCTTCTTGAGGATTTCTGGCCATGGATGCTCGTGACCAGAAATCGAAGAAAGCCATAGCAGCAGAATATCCAGAAAGCAGGGAAGGCAAATAAAGGAAAGGAAGACACAACAACTACTGAGGCATTAAGGTCAAGGTTTAATGTGCTAGAAAATGAGGCTGATAAGGAAGTCGAAACTGAGGATGAGGAGGTTGATGATCATATTGTCACCCAAGAATAGAAAGACTTCATCGAGGAGAAGAAAGGGACAAAGAAAGTTGAAAAGCATACCACAACGACTAATACAGGAAAAACCACAGCGGGAGAGGCAGACAGGGATGTTGGAATGAGAACTAACAAGGGCTTGGAGGGAGAAAGAAGGACGGTGTACCCGATGATGCGATCCGCCTTCACCTCTTCCCCCATTCTCTGGCGGGGCATGCTAAGAGGTGGTTGGAGACCCAGCCCCCATTGTCCATCACTTCTTGGGACGATCTGGCCAACAAGTTCGTGCACAGGTACTATCCGGCATCGAAGACCACAGAGATCCAGCGGGAGATCACTCACTTCCGCCAGGAGCCAGACGAGTCACTTCGTGATGCATGGGAGCGGTACATGGGATTTTTCTAGCAGTGTCCCCATCATGGCTTCGGTGATGCATTCACCGTGGGGAACTTCTATAGTGCTCTCTCCCCGGAAAGCCATAGGGTGATTGAGTCTCTATGCCCAGGAGGGGATATTCTTACTAAGACTCCACCCGAACTGAACCAGATGATCAGTACTTTGGCTGCCAGAGATCATTTATGGGGGCAGAGCAGGAGAGGCAGGAATTCCCGGGACCGTGGTGTGCACGCCATGGAGGTCAGGTCTAGGCTAGAGAGGGAGGTGGCTGAGTTAGTGCAGACATTGAAGCAGCCCAACAGTCTTATTCCGGGTAGAGGTTCGGCTTTACCTCCAGTAGCTCAATGTCAGTAGTGTGAGAGCCTGAATCATCTGGTGGAAGACTGCCAGGCTATGCGGGAGTCTTCTACTCCCCAAGAGCAGTTGGACTTCATCGCCAATGCTCGGCGCCTTGATCCATACAGCAATACATATAATGAGGGGTGGCGCTAGCATCCCAACTTTGCTTGGAATAGCAACACCACTAAACCACCTGGTTTCCCAGCACCAGCGGGTGGTTTTCAGCAGAGGCAGCCTTATCAGGCTAGACAGGGGCCAGTTCCACAGCAGCAGCCTTACCAGCCTAGGCAGGGGCAGCAATTCCAGCAGCCCCAACGTCAGTATGCCCAGCCTCCAGCAGCTGCAGCTCCAGATAATCAGATGACGGAACTGAAAAATATTTTGCAGGCATTCATGACCACCAGCCAGGCGAATTTTACGAGGATGGACCAGAACATAGCCTCACTGGAGGCAGGCCAGAGGAACCAAGGTGCCATTTTGAAAGATTTACAAAATTAGATTGGTGGCATAGCTCGCCAAAACACTACAAGGGCACCAGGGACTCTGCCTGCCACCACAATTCCGAACCCTCGTGAGCCTCACCAGCAACTGGATGCCATCACTACCAGGAGTGGCAAGACCACATCTGTGCTCCTGCCCAGCCCAGGCAGAACGAGCCACTACCTGCTTCAACACTTCCAGCCGACAATGCAGAAGTGAGGAAAAATAAAAAAGCACCTGCTCCCAAGCTGGAGAATGAGTTTGCCAAATTCATGGCAATGTTGAAGCAGGTCAACATCAGCATGCCGTTCGTGGAGGCACTGTCGAAGATCTTTCGACGGTGATGTTGAGCAAGGAGTGTTCTGCTATCCTGCAGAACAAGCTGCCCG